TTGAACCCACCACCTCTGATATACAGGGCCGGTGCCCTACTACTCCTTTGAGCCACAGACGCCACCCCCAGATTCACTAATTTTTTAACAACTTTATTGAGATAGAATTTACATACTGTTTAATTTGGTCATTTAAAGCATGTAGTCTTATTTTTTCCAGATTCACTAATTTTGAAAATTTTACTTTATCTTTTTTGTTAATACTAGTCAAATGTAATCCCTCTCTGTCTGTGTGTGTATTTTCCTGAACTATTTGACAATATATTGTAGATAAGCCTTTTTTTTCTTAGAGACAGAGTCTCACTTTATCACCCGTGGTAGAGTGCTCTGGCATCACAGCTCACAGCAACCTCCAGCTTTTGAGCTTAGGCAATTCTCTTGTCTCAGCCTCCCAAGTAGCTGGGACGACAGGCACCTGCCACAACGCCTGGCTATTTTTTGTTGCAGTTTGGCCGGGTTCAGTTTTGAACCTGCCACCCTCGGTATATGGGGCTGGTGCCCAGCCCACTGAGCCACAGGCGCTGCCCCTGTATCTTTTTTTCTTTTCTTTTTGGAGACAGAGTCTCACTTTATCACCCTTGGTAGAGTGCTGTGATGTCACAGCTCACAGCAACCTCCAATTCCTGGGCTTATGCGATTCTCTTGCCTCAACCTCCCTAGTAGCTGGGACTACAGGCTCCTGCCACAATGCCTGGCTATTTTTTTGTTGCAGTTTGGCCGGGTCGGGTTTGAACCTGCCCCCTACTCACTGAGCCACAGGCGCTGCCCAAGTGTATGTCTTTATTTCTACATACTTCAGCATGCTTTGCTTAAAAACGAGAACATTATCTTAATAACCATAGTGCAACTATAAACTTCAAGAAATGTCATCTAAAATATAGTTCATATTCCATTTTCACCAATTGCCCCAATGACACCTATGGCAACATTTCCCCCTATCTAGAAATCAACCCAGGATCACATGTTGCATTTATTTATTTTGTCTCTTTGCTCTTCTTTACTCTGGAACAGTTCTTCAGCCTTTCTTGGATTGTCATGACACTGACTGTTAGGAGCATATAGGTCAGAGATTTTGTAGGCTGTCCCTCAGTTTGGGTTTTTCTGAGGTTTCCTCAGGATTAGATTTTAGTTTTTGTGTTTTATTATGATTATGATTATAATTATTGAGATGTGAATAATAGTAGTAGCTGCCTAATGCATTATTGTCAAGACTAAACTGATCAGGCTCAGCGCCTGTAGCTCAGCAGTTAGGGCACTGGCCACATACACTGGGGCTAGTGGGTTTGAACCCGGCCTAGGCCACCTAAACAATGACAACTGCAACAACAAAAATAGCCAGGCATTGTGGCGGGTGCCTGTAGTCCCAGCTACTTGGGAGGCTGAGGCAAGAGAATCACTTAAGCCCAAGAGTTGGAGGTTGTTGCGAGCTGTAATGCCACTGCAGTCTACCAAGGGCGACGTAGTGAGACTCTGTCTCCAAAAAAAAAAGACTAAACCGATCATGTGAAAAGCACAAAACAATGCTGGTTCATAGCAAGTGCCCCATAAAGAGAGGATGCTGTTGCTGTTGTCGTTAACATGGTGGGAAACCTGAGGAATGAACACTTTAAACGAAGTTAGAGGGGTTAGGAAGGAGAATCACTACTCTTCATGGGGCACCTAGGAGAGCCTGGCAGGGAGACTGAGGAGAGAGCCTGAGCATTATATAGGGTGGACTCAGGTTGTGAGATCATTTCTGCAGAGGTGCCCAGGGCTGGAAGTCACTGAGCATTCCCTAGCCCTGACGTTGGCACTTCACGTGGATCCAACCAGGACCCTTCTTTCTTTCTTTTCCTTTTCTTTTTTATTTTGAGACAGAGTCTCACTATTTCACCCTTGGTAGAGTGCCGTGGCTTCACAGCTCATAGCAAACTCAAACCCTTGGGCTTAAGTGATTCTCTTGCCTCAGCCTCCCAAGTAGCTGGGACTATAGGCACCAGCCACAGTGCCTGGATATTTTTGTTGCTGTTGTTGTAGTTGTCATTGTTGTTTTAGCTGGTCCAGGCTGGGTTTGAACCTGCCAGCCTCAGTGCATGTGGCCAGTGCTGTAACCACTGTGCTATGGGTGCCAAGCCCAGGACCTGTCTTTCTGATGGATTCATTGTCTGGGTCCTCTAGCTCTTCTTTTTCTCCTCCCCAAACCAGGTACTTCAGAGGCTCATCAAGTCCCGAGGGAAGTCTCAATCCAAACACCTCAATGTCCAAATAGCAGCCTCGGAGAAACTGGCACAGTGTTCCCCTGTGAGTGCCTAGGCGAGGGGAAGGGAAGGGAGGAGAACATGTGGGTTGTCTAATTTCCTCTGGCTTGCATGGGAGACAGAGTGACCAGCAACACCTGGGCCAGGTCCCTAGATGCAGACTGATCTTCGCAGAAAGAGCATAGGGCAGGTAGAGATTGGATTCAAGCCCCAGAGTTAAGCCCCTCTCTCTTAGCCTTGGTTGCCTAATCTCCAGAATGAGGGAGTTGGTTTATCTGAGAGCCAAGACCTTGCAAGTCTGCCAATCTGTAGATCTGAGAATCCTCTTTCCCTTCCTTCACATAGAGTGGCCTCTTTTTAACCTTGTCCTTCAACCCCTTGACTCCACCCACTGCACCCAGGCCACACCCTCACCCCATTGGTCACGCCCCTGCTCATCCCAGCCCCGCCCCTAACCCCACCTCCACAGGAAATGTTCGATATCATCCTGGACGAGAACCAATTGGAGGATGCGTGCGAGCACTTGGCTGAATACTTGGAAGCCTATTGGAAGGCCACACACCCGCCCAGCAGCACACCACCCAATCCGCTGCTGAACCGTACCATGGCCACTGCAGCCCTGGCCTCCAGCCCTGCCCCTGTCTCCAACCTCCAGGTACAGGTGCTCACCTCGCTCAGGAGGAACCTCAGCTTCTGGGGCGGGCTGGACGCCTCACAGCGGGGCGGCAGCACAGTGCCACCACAGCAAGAACACGCCATGTAGAGTGCCTCACCCGTCTTCCCTCCTGCCTAGGGTCTGGAACTGGAATGCAGGGGACACGGGGAAGGAAGGGAAGAGCCTCATTTTGTAAAAAATGTGGTGAGAGGCAGCTTCTGGTGTCTGTGGTTTTTGATGGCACTGGTGCTGCCTCCCAATCTGTTGCTAGCTGGATATGAGACCTGATTCAGGCCCTCGTAAGACCAGAGAATAGGAAGGAAATATAACGAAGAGGGCCGGGTGAGGTGCTCACACCTGTATTCCTAGCACTCTGAGAGGCCAAGGTGGGTGGATTGCTTGAGCTCAGGAATTTGAGACCAGCCTGAGTAAGAGCAAGACCGTCTCTATTTAAAATAGAAAAACTAGCCTGTAGTCCCAGCAACTTTGGAAGCTGAGGCAAGAGGATCACCTGAGCACTAGAGATTGAGGTTGCTGTGAGCTATGATGATGCTGTGACACTCTACCCAGGGTGAGGATGAGACTGTCTCATAAAAAAAGAAAAGAAAAGAAGGGCGGTGCCTGTGGCTCAAAGGAGTAAGGCACCAGCCCCATATGCCGGAGGTGGTGGGTTCAAACCCAGCCCCAGCCAAAAACTGAAAAAAAAAAAAAAAAGAAAGAAAGAAAAGAAAAGAGAATATGAGGAAGAGTGGTATAATTCTTAGCTGAACTCCACACCCTATTTTGACCCAAGAGAGCAGGAGCTCTCAGACCTAAGGAAACCCACAGAGCAGGGTCCATTTAAGCCCAGCAGAACTGCTCCCCCTTGGACTCCTAACCCCAGGAGGGACCCAGAATGTAGCATTCCCCATGACTTGATGCTGTACTTTCCATCCTCTCCCAGTTAAATAGAATCCAGGAGAGGCCTTCTCATGAGTGTCCTATCCTTCCTTGACTTCCTCCCATAGGTGCCACAGTCCATCTCTGAGGCCATAGCATTGAGTATATGGTTCTGGGTTAGAGCCAAAAGAAACCTATGAAATCATGTCAGACTGTGTTTTCAACAATAGAGCCCATTTGTTTACTGAGTCTTGCATGGATACTGAATATATAGATAAGGCATCCTGCTGTGCTCTGAGGGAACTAGGGGCTTCTTGGCCTCCCCTTCACTTCCATGGAGACCCCTAAAGCATTTCTGTGCCCTCCCCACCCTGCCCTAGGTAGGTCTCCAGGGAACAGTTTTGAAACTACTGCTCTAGTCTAATCCCCATCACACTACAACCAAGAAACTGGGCCACAGAGAGGGGAATCATTTGCTCAGGATCACACTGCTTGAAGTGACAGGGGTGGGACAAGAACCCAGGCCTCTCCTTGCATTCCATTTGGCAATCTCCATGGTAGCAGTGGCCACCAGCTTACCTCTTAAGTGGCATTTGGTGGGGCTGTTAGGCTACTTCATCATCTCTGTTGGGGGAGGGAGACCCATCAGCCTTCCCAGCCTGCTGCTTTGAGTCTTTGTTGGGGGCAGGAGAGGGATCCTATCAATCTTGGAGACTCTGTCATCTGACTTGGGGAATGGGGGACAAGTATGGGGTGCTGGAAACCTGTGATTGGGGTCTGGCGTGGGCTGAAGAAGCTAGGGTCAGTGAGTTTGAACTGATATCCCTTCTTAATATATTTGGAAAACTGGAGGGAATGACTAATCCAATCAACCACTAACGATTGGCAATACTAATGAGTTGTTAATGTTGATTAACCCCAAGATAGCATTAACGACATGCACTGAGGAAGGGATGACTAATTGTTCATGGCTCTCTGCCATGGTTACCATGAGAGTTCATGGTCCTCACGTCTTAAGGTTGGGCTTCTTCTGTCTGGATAGAGGAGCAAATGCCTAGAGTTCTGTCCTCTGATTAGGCTTCAGAGCCATTTGCCTTGGGCGTTCATCCCCAATCTCTAGAGCCAGGACCCTCCTCCTTAAGCCCAGCTAGGTGTCTTGGTGCTGTCACTAACCTGCCTTGCTTTGTTGTGTTTTTCTTACCTCTGGCTGATCTGCATGGTGTGTGCTGTCCGTCTGCTAACCAGGGACCCTACCTTCCTTCTGGGGACCAGTCGCTGGAACGGGCCACCGGGGAGCACGCCAGTGTGCACGAGTACCCGGGGGAGCTGGGCCAGCCCCCAGGCATTTACCCCAGCAGCCACCCACCAGGCCGGGCAGGAACCCTGCGGGCACTGTCCCGCCAAGACACGTTTGATGCCGAGACCCCCGGCAGCCGAAACTCTGCCTACACGGAGCTGGGAGACTCATGTGTGGACATGGAGACTGACCCCTCAGAGGGGCCAGGGCTTGGAGACCCTGCAGGGGGCAGCACTCCACCAGCCCGACAAGGTTCCTGGGAGGAAGAGGAAGAAGACTATGAGGAAGAGCTGACCGACAACCGGAACCGGGGCCGGAATAAGGCCCGCTACTGCGCTGAGGGTGGGGCTCCAGTTCTGGGGCGCAACAAAAATGAGCTGGAGGGCTGGGGGCGAGGTGTCTACATCCGCTGAGAGGCAGGGGCCAATCCATAGGAGGAAGGGCTCTGAGCCCAGGGGAGGGGAGGGACAGAGGGTCTCACCACCTGAGATGTATCTTGCCTCCAGGGGGCTTATCTCCCCCCTTTCAAATGCCTTTGCTCAATGTTTGAGGTTTCTTTGGTGGTATCATCCCAGCTCCTGGGAGGCCCTTAACCCTCAGCTGTAGGTTTTTACCTACCTGCTGTGGGTGGATGGGGGATACCCACCTTTCTGAAATGTCCCCTTTTCCCTATTTTAGGGGGCTATCCTCCCTCACCCTCCCAGAGAAAAGGTGCACTTCCTTAATTCTTTCTACTTGGGGCTCTAAGTGAAGGTCCTATACGGCGTGACCCTTCTTTTCCCAACCTGGAGTATTTGGGAAGAGTTGGGTGCTTTTCCTGGAGAGGAGGCCACAGAATCTTTGCTATGGGAGCTCTCTCCCCTCAACCCACATCCAAGGTCCCTCACCATGCCCACACCCGCCCCCAAGCTTCCCAGCAGCATATCTGGTAGGTGAGAACTATAGTATGGACACCCCATGGGGAGCTTGTCTTCAGAGGGATTTGGGTGGAGACTGGTAGGTATGAGATGTAGGACCCTCTGCCCTCCATGGCCATGGCAATGCCAAGGCCTAGAACCCCGAGGAGTGGGCTACCTGAGATGCTGCTATCCACCCCCTCTCCATGCCTCAGCCTTCGCCTACCCCAGGAATGAGCTTTGCCTACAACATCCCCTGCCTGCTGCCATCAGAAAAGGGGGGCCCATCTGCATCTGAGTCCCCCATCCCCATCTTCATGCCACCTGAGTGTGGAGCCCATGGAACACTCTGGTCCACCTCATTTTAAACCAAAAAACTGCCCCTTCACCCCCACCCTGAGGCCCTAGGGGAGAAACCCTGTAGGTTGGTACCCAAGAAGGGACCGCTAGACCAGGGGTTGCCTTGGGACCCCAGATCTCCCCTAGGGGGCTTGGCTGCTGCTGCCGCTGCTCTGTATCTGCCTCTCGTGATTCTGTTCTTCACCCACATGGACTGTCCTTAGGAGAGGCCTTGATACCCCCTCTCCCCTGGGGTATCCCTCTTCCTCTACATCCCTATAGCCCAGCAGCCCTGCCCCCTCCCCAGCGTCCCAGCTGGGCCAGAGAGAGCCGATTGTGCCAACGAGGACTGGGCCCCCTGGCTGCCCACCTCAGGGATGGGCACCTCATGCCTATCTCGCCACCTCCTGTGCCAATGTTGTTCCGCCCCCCACCTGGGGGTGGGGTGCAGCTTCCACTTCCTGATTAGAAGATGCCACTGCCTAACCTCTCCCCCTTCCTGTCTAATGTCCTGTGCCCCCTCATCTGTCTGTCTATTTGTCTGTACTCTCCTAGGAGAAGTATTTTGCCATATATAAACTGCTGTCCTGTCCTTTGTGGCCGCCTCCCAAGCCTGCTTCTTTGTTCCCAACACACAGTTGTTAGCCTAGGCATGTGGGAGCTGCCAACATGCAGGGGGGACCCAAGGTTTGGATGCAGGAATAAGCTGTACCCTGAGTGGACTCAAGAGAAGAGACAGTTCTTTGATTTGTGGTCCTCTGGTGCCTTATGTAAAGCTGGGAGCTACTTGCCCAGTCTCAGCTCACCATTAGGCCCTGAGCCCTATGCTTTACCTATCTCCCTACATGTAGCTGTGGAAATGGGAGCCTGGAATTTCACTCAGTGCGTGGGATCCAGAACCACCGTGCAATGTCTGAAAGGCACATGCTTGTTTTTCTGCTCCTGAGGCCTGGCTGTGCTCTAACACCTCAAGAGAAGAGGCTGAGTTTTTGGTTCCACTAATGCTCCCCCACAATCCTGTCCGTACTAACCACCTAGCCTAGGTATGTGGGAGTTACTGACATTCAGGAGGGATCAAAGGGGTGGGGTGGGGAGGTGGTCTACTCTTGTGGGGAGAGGGGTGGAGAAAATGGGGGACTCCACCAGTCTCAGCCAGAGAATGAGGAACAAAGTAAGCAGTGGTTGTGCCCTTTCCTGCCGTCCCCAGGTGGCAGGATGTGGATTTCTGACAGTTGCTACTGCAGCCACCTGTGACCTGCCTCTCAGTACCCACAATCCTTTCCTCACCCTCCTGATCTTGTTTTGGAGTCAGTGGCCCTGGATGACTATCGCGTCTGGGTCCTCCATCTGAATGCTCAGGCCCAGTATCTGTGCACACCTGTGCATGTGTGTAGAGGGTGACAGACATCTCCTGAGACCTAGATAAGGAGCTACCAGATCAAAGAAAGAGGAACTGGGCAGGTACAGAGGTCAAGTGACTGACCCAAGTTCCCCAGGGAGTTGATGGCAAAGTTGATGAGAGCCCACTGTGCCTCCCTGCATGGTGCTCTTCCCACTGCCTTTCCATAGAATCTTTCATTCTGGTGTTTATTCGTGGAACAAACAGGAACAAATATGTACTAGGCACCAGTCTGAGTGGAAACAATTGCCAGTACAGTACAATGAGCTCTCTGATGTGGGAAGAACTGGGTATTGTGGGAACCTGGAAGAGGAGTCATTCCCCTTAACCCTGGAAAGTCAAGAGAGGCTTCAAGGAGGAGGTGAGGCTTGAGAGGAGTGTAGAAGCATGGGTAGGAGTTAATAAGGACAGATATGTGGGGGAAGTGTTTAGGGCAGAGGAAGCAGGGGACATGCATGACATGTTCTTGGCACCTCAGAAACAAAGTGTGCTCTCAAGGCAGTGTCTAGAGAGGGGTTGGCAGAAGTAGGTTACAGCAGTCCTTGAATTATGTTAAGGAGTCTAGGCTGTGTCCTAAGCTGGTTTGCAGAAACTGAAGGATTGTAAGCAGCAATGACAAGATTGCCTGGTTGCAGTTTGGAGAGCCCAGCCTGGAAACAGCTGTGATGCTCCAGGTGAGAAAGGAGGGTTTGGCTTAGCCCACAGCAGTGGAATAGGAAGGTAGGCAATGATCCCCCACACTCCTGCCCCTGCCAACCACCTGGCCTAGGCATGTGGAAGCTACTGACATTCGGGAGGGTTCAAGGCGGGGGTGTAGGGAGGTGGTCTAGTTGTGTGAGATATCTAGCAGTTAGAATCGGGAGCTTGTAGACAGCAATTGGAAGTGGCCAGTGAAGAGAGAGGGAGGTGTTTGGGTGAGTGTAGGTGGTAGCCCTCTCTTAGGACGCAGGTAAAAAACTAATTGGGAGGCAGAAATAAGCCAGCTTTGAACAAGGTAGGTTTTTTTTTTTGAGACAGAGCCTCAAGCTGTCACCCTGGGTAGAGTGCCGTGTCATCACAGCAACCTCCAACTCCTGGGCTCAAGTGATTCTCCTGCCTCTGCCTCCCAAGTAGCTGGAACTACAGGCACTTGCCACCAACCCCTGGGTATTTTTTGGTTGCAGCTGTCATTGTTTGGCGGGCCCGGGCTGGATTCAAACCCGCCAGCTCAGGTGTAATAGGCTGGCGCCTTAACTGCTTGGGCCAAAGGCCCCAAACCTGAACAAGGTAGTTTTATGTGCCTGTGAAACATTCAAGAGGATAAGAGCAAAAGACTAGCTGTGTGCATGGTCTGGAGCTCTGCAGAGAGGTCTTGGGTGGAGTCTGATATTTTGAATTAAGGGCAGGGATTATTAACTCCAGTTCACAAACAAAGCTCAGAGAATTTAAGCTACTTGTTCACAGTTACACAGCCATGATGCAAGGACCTGAACTCAGATAGATGGATTTCAAGTTCTGTGATGCCTGTGGCTCCCTGGTGCTAATTTGTCTGGCCCAGGATGCATCAGCTTCTTCAAGGGTAGCGGGTAGGGGGTGGGGAGGAGGAAGCAGGTATCTCCTCCTCCCCATGTGTCTTCTGCCTGAAATTGTATTTGCCCAGAACTTGCAGGCAAGGGCATTTCTAGTTGGCTTGGAGATACTGGGAGATGGAGGGAGACTCTTGTTTCTTGGTAACCACAAACTCTCACCTAACTGGCTGCATGTCAGCAAGTTGGTGATTGTAAATGTGAAGATTTAAAGAACCACAAAATCAGCTGAAATAAGGCCCTGCGAGGCTGGCCCTTCTATCCATCTCAGGGGTTTAGGAACTGAGTCCTGCTGGGGACCCCTTCTACTTGATACTCTTTTTTTTTTTTTGGCCAGGGCTGGGTTTGAACCCACCACCTCCGTTATATGGGGCCGAAGTCTTACTCCTTTGAGCCATAGGCACTGCCCTTTTTTTTTTTT